TGTGGACGGAGGCGCTGCAATCACTTGGCTATTTATTGAACCAGACTTTGCGTGGCTCATTCCAGGTTCCTAGGTCCTGAGGAGCCAGCATGTGGGCGGAGGCTATCCTCTCCCCACAGGCCTGCACCATTGGCTTTGTTTTTCTTAGCAGAAGGCTTAATCCCTCACTACTTTCAGCATGAAATGGAAGATTCTGGCACAGCTTTCTTGATTTTTTTTCTTTCTTTCTCTGGCCTTTAATTCACTGGAAAAAAAATAATAGTAGAGACTGTGCTGGATATTTTTGCCCAGAGAAGGCTGTAGGTGGACAAGGGCCCCACCCCTGTGATGAATATCAGAGGAAAACAATCCTGATTGGGGCCTGGCAGTCACAGCAGGCCTGCTGGGGCAGCTGGCACCTACCTAGTACAGGGCACAGAAGGGGACCTGCTAGGCTGGTTGTGGACTGTCCAGGGCCACCTGCTTGGTGTTCTGCTAGACACACCCGTCATGCTGGGTATGTGGATGCAGTGGGAAGACATGCCCCTGAATCCAGTCAGCAGACTTGTCTGTCCCCACCTCACCCCATTACAAGTCCCTATAAGGAAATTAACATTTGTTTCCCCTCTCTGTAAGAGGCTTGAGCCATCTCAACTAAAAAAGAGTACATTCTTTCTTTTGAAACTCACCCAGAGGAGACCGGAGGGGAACCTACAGCCAGTTTTTACTCTTGACAACACTTCTGAGGTGTGGTCACCTTGGTAACAATTTTTTAAAGCTGCTCTTAAAGAAAGCCTGATCTGGCTGAAACTGGTTGAAGCCACCAAGCCTCTCACCTGAACCTGCAAAATTATCCTACATGCCAACTTTTGTGGTCAGAGGGCCAGAAACTCCACCCTAAAGTCCTGCTAACACCGCCATTTTCTGAACATGTCTCTATGCAGCGTCATCAAGTTTGCTTAGGTACGTGCAGACACAGATTACTTCACATTTCCTTACTTCAATTACCTTGCCCCACACCTCAGACCACCTTTTTTATTTTCTTCTTCTTACCATAAATATCCCCTAAACCTTCTCAGGGAGGTAGATTTGAGTCCAGGGACTTACCACTGTCCCCACCCTTGGCTACCTGGTGAACTGAAGTGATTTACATAACTCAGCCTCCACCAGGTTTAGCACCCACACTACTAGGCACCGCAAAGCAAAACTAAAGCCAGCCTGAGGAACAGCAGGAAGGCACAGTGTTAATGGTTAATGGCTCTGACCCAGCTAGCCGGGGTATATATCATTTCCCAAGTCCATTTGTTTCAAAAGGTAACAGATTTGTGGTTTTGCTCAAGTTCCTTCAGAAAGCAAGCACAGCACATTTGTCATTGCCCTTTGGCACCCAACATATATCTGTCTCCCCTTTCTTTTAAAGATTTTAACATACTGAGACCTTATCACTTCAGAGCAGGATGGCATTTATTCACTCTGTATTTCAATAAAACCTGCACAGCCCGGGATTCATGATGGCAAACAGAACTAAGAATTGCCAACACTGAGTTCTTACTAAGTCCCAGGCAGAGTTAAGGGCTTTTCATACTTATGCCTTTAAGTCTCTCAAGGGCACTTGGTGTTACAATTGTCCTCAAGTTATGGCTCAGGAAACCAGGGCAATGTCACCCCAGAGGTAATCAACAGGCCAATCCAGACAGACAGGCTCACGGCCTCTGGGCACAGCCACCCCTGCACTAACTCTGAAGTTCCTCAGGCCCTTTCCTCACCGGTGTGCCCCAGCTGATTGAGATGGTGGCCAGGAGGGCCTCCAGAACCTAAGCACAGTTCATTRTCTACAATGTTCACTCCAGTCGAACCTGCAGTTGGACCTGGCTTATCCATTTGATTTCTACCTTTGGGGATTAGCTAAAAAAATACTTTTTCTTTATCCCTACCCTAGGGAAATCTGGGGATGTTATTTATTAGCCTTTGCCTTGGGAAATCTCAGACACCAAAGGAAATTCTTTTGACAGTCACAATGTACCAGGGTACAGGCTGGGAAGCTTTTTCCCTGAGACTCCTCCTCAACCTTAGGAATCTGTTTTGAGCAAAGAGAAGGCTCTAGTTTTCATTCCCAGAAGCTATTGAGAACYGAGTCCAAGAAGCCTGAGAGGTAGCCTTGCTCTGGTTAACTGGGACTAGAGGCCAGCTGGAGCCTGGTATGGTAACAAGTGTGCTGCCTGGGGATTTAAAGCTGGCTCCTGCAGAGCATCAGAACCTCACTGAAGCAGGGTGGTACAGACAGGAGTTACTTCCCCCATCTTCCACCAAGCACAGCCTTCCTCAGACCTATGCTGGCAGTTCCGCTCACCTGTATCTCACCTGTCCCAAGAGCTTCTTTAGTTTCTTGTTGTTATACTTTAGGAGTCAAACCTGAGTAATATGAGGACCACTTAGGAGAACTTAGACTGACTTCAGCTGTTGGGCCAAAATGCTTCAGGTCAGAGGGGCTGGAGCCCATGAGTCTTTTTAACAAAACACGCACTTTGASCAACACCACTCTGGGGTTTCTAAGCAATCTCTCCAAGCCTCTAATATGTCCAAAGGTCAGAGATGCCACTGCCTGGTGGGGGGAGAGAATCTGACACCCACCCACTGGGGCCTCCTCAGTTTTGAAGTCTCTCAGTTTGGGCCTGGGTCACCTTGCTATCCTTGTTAAGGACAGGATAGGAGCTGGAAGCACCTGGGAGACCCAAGAAGTCAACCCTCACTCTGGGGCAGGCATCTAGGAGCTGGAGTTCTCCATCTTGCAGCGGGCCTTGGTCAGGTGTTTTGTGTAGATAATGACAGCTGGCACTTCAGTGTTCACTTAGTCCTAAGGTCATCCATGTTTATCAGCATTATCTCACTTAATCCACCTAATGAAGCTAGTACTATCATCACCCTCATTTTATAGATGAGGCTGAGAGAATTGACAAGGCTACTGAGGGAAAGAGAGGATTTTGAACCCAGGCAGGCATAAAACACACACATGGAATCCGACGTGAGGCACACACCTGTAATCCCAATTTGTAGGAAGACTGCAAATTCAAGGTCAGCATGGGCAACTTAGCCAGTTCCTAGTAATTCAGCCATACCCTGACTCAAAAAATAAAAAGGTCTGGGGATGTAGCTCAGCAACAAAGGACCCCTGGGTTCAATSCCCAGACCAAAATAAATAAATAAGTAGAAATGGCATTTTGTTTTCTTTAGTCCGAGTTCAGGGGCTGTATCTTCTATTATCTAYTCAGCCTTGTTTTAAAAATCTGCCCCAGCTCAGATGACAGCTGTGAGCCTAACTTAATTTTTGACTGAAGTTGTTTGTAGCTTTCTACAATGGGATTAGTGTATCAGCAACTTTAAAAACTGGGTCATTGTAAATATCCTTGCACTTGGGGTAACTGCAAAGGTAGGAACATACCAAGCTCACCACTGAAAACGTGAAAGTGGTGGCTTTTCCAGTGAAGCTACCTGTTGCAGTGACCAAGATAACAGGTAACCTGGCTCTGTGCAGGAGACTGTCCAGAGAGTGATCACAAAACAAACTGCAGAGATAAACATCACCATAAGGGAGCAAGCCAGGGTCAGACTTTCGTGTCCTGGGGGCATACTTATATACACTTCCTGAACACACACACGCCAGAAGGGACTTGGCTGTGACTTTGATGTGTCCCCTTCAGCTGAGCAGTCTCCAGCATGAGCTCTCTCACAGCCCAGGCAATGGCTCCCAGAGGTACCGCCCTCCCTTCATCACTTGCCAGAGTCCTTTCAGCATGTCAATCAGGTGGCTCAGATCTTCCCAGGAAAACCAGCTAGCAACTGTGCCCCTTTTCTTCCAACTGGTTTATGGAATTCTAGGGAAGCCTAAACTCAACCTCTTGTTCCACCACATCCTGGAACCAAGAATTGGCTCTAGAGACACTCCATTCCTCTGCTAGCTCAACCCCCTTCTGGTTTGCTCCCTGCCTCCTGGGTTCCTGGCTTTCCATGCCTGCCACCTCCTGACCAGCACAGCTTCATCAGCCGTTCTAATGCCCATCCTGACCAACCCATGAATAAGCCAGATATATTGAGTGAGCAAGCAAGCATGCAAGGAGGAAGGAAGTGTGCTGGTATGAAGGGCCTGTAAAATCACCTGACTTCTCAGTCCCATTTTTTCTCATTCCAGTCTCTGCTGTGTCTTGGAAAGGAATGTCTTTGATAGATTTGACCCAGCATCTCTGCTTAATATAATCAGGGTAGGGCGGCGAGTTTTAATTCAGCCTCCTGTAGAAACATGACCCATCCATCAACTCCCACTGACCAAAAARAAATACTATGGATCTAAGATCCAATGGATTGAAGCTTCGGCATTCTACCATTATAAATCCAAGACCTTTTCACTGAACTTCACTTTCTCCCTCAATCTAGAAATAGCAGTTTCCTGTCAGCCAGACAGAAAAACCAAAGCTGTATTCTAGCCACAAATCCATTTCCTTCCAAGACTAAACTAATCCAGGCTGACATGGGGTCCACAGCCTGAGGTACCTTGATGCTATTACAGTCTCCTTAACTTCCACTTCTTGACAGTCCTGCTGCCTCCTCTTCATAACTGGTACTCTCTAGAAACTAAACGGTTCTGATGAAAACCAGCGACCTCTGGGCACTATCAAAGAGAACCCAAACCACAGCTCCAGGCCACCAAATCTCCCAAGGTCGTTAACAAAAAAGATCAGTCAGAAATGGGTCTAGAAAAGTTGCCACAGATAACTGCCTCTGTGGGAACCCTAAATCTCTTTCCGATGAAGAGTTATCAACGCCCATTTATTCACTCTCACAGGCTCAATGAACCCTCCACACAAAGGGGGACCAGCTCTAACTATGGCACTCCTAGTTCTCCAAGTCCCAGTGAGAGACCTCGCTCGGCTCCTTGTTCAGTCTTCCACACAGGCCCAACATCTTCTAGTACATTCTTCCTGCAACCATTTTGGCCTTTGCAGCAGCAAGAAGACAACACCACCAAAAAGGATAAAATAAGTTTTTATTTATAGTCTTATAGTAAAGGGGGAAGCCTTAACTTGCAAGACAATTCATCGGCAGTATGTACAACATACTTTTTATTTCCATGGAATGGAATCAAACACAGACTGAKACTACAGAGTATACACCAGAGATCAGCAAATGCCAGGAACAGAGTGGGAAAAAGACAAAGAAATGAGGCCTAAACACACAAAACCCTTCACTGGGATCTGTTGACCACAGCCAGAACCAGGGCTGGATCACACAATGGAGACAGGTTCCGGAACAGGAGGAAGTGGGGTGAGGGTGGGGAAAGGGGCCGCACTGGGGTGCGGGTTTAGTACCAGGTAAATTGCTCTTGGAATTTATATTACAAAATCAGTTGGCTCTATTTCTTAGAAATACACACGAAAAGAAAGGAAGAGTTGATCATTACTTTATGAATCTGTCGCTTTGCAATAACCGACATCATCAGAAATAGGGACAATTCACTCAGATTCAAATTTCAGTAGCARGAAATAAATATCAAAACATCATCACTGGCCCTCAAYACAAAACCTCTACCCCACCCAATGATCCCTCCYTGTCCCACCCCCAAATAACCACCCCCTACCACTCTCTGGTGGCTGCCGCTTCACTGCTGCCATCTCCCATACATACCACAAATGTCACTCGGCCCTCCGTAAGGCTGGCACTGCAGGCTTAAACAGCTGGCTGAGAGAAGCGGGAGTGAAACGTGCCAAGAACTCTGCAAATCTGTCCCCACTTTCCTTTTATACCACAAACTTCTTCAAGGTCTGGTCTTTCAACGAGTGATAAATAGCTTTTTAGGAAAAAAAATCCTTATGAAGGAGAGGGGGTAATTCTCATTACTCCAAACTGGTCATCTTCTCAAAGTAGAGCAGTTCACAGATTCACAAAGTCTATCAAACAAAGGCGAGGGGGACCGGGAGGAGAGGCCCGGCAGGGCAGGCGTCCTCCAGGCACGTGCCCCTTGGGGCTGGAGGAGCTGGTGGGGTGGGCAGGACACCATGTGCTCAGAGGTCCGGCCGGCCGTCTGTCCTCCACAGAAAAAGCTGCCAAGTTGGGGTGTTTTGGTTTAAAAACGTCTGGTGGGGACAGGGAATCCCTGAAGGGAATACATTTTAAAAAAAAAAATAGTGGAAATAGGGAAGGAGAACGAGAGCTGTTGTCCAAGAGCTTCTACGTAAAAATAAAAATTTAAAAAAAAAAAAGAAAAATAAAGAGTCTTTTAAATGGTTCTGAGGGTTCTAATGATGAACTGAGAGGAGGATGAGACGACGGAGGAGACAGACAGTTTTTATTGCTGGCCTGCCCTGTGTGGCTTAGCTGGCCTCCATCCGGAGTTTCTTCCTGCTTTGGGGCTCTTCAGGCTCTGACTCTGAGCTGGAGTCAGAGCCCCCATCGAAGGCAGAGATGGTGCTGCCCTTGGCGTTGGTGTAGAGGCTGTTGTCTGAGGAGGGGTAGTTGGTCTGCAGTTGGGCACTCGACCTCGCCTTCTCCAGTGCACGGACTAAAAGGCAACCGAGGGAGCACATTACCAACTTCTGCAGACTCAGGGAACAACCAAGTCTCAGACTCAGGGTCCAGCCTGTTCTTCCTAAGGGCTTGTTGCTGGCCAGCCCAGGCTCAGGGTGGCTCACACAGAAGTACTCCCTTCGAGTGGCTGTTCCACACACACACTTCATTTCCCTTCCCTCTTTTCCCAGCTGGACCTGGGTTCCTGGCAGATATAGCCAGTTACTCTGCCACCCCACCCAACCCTGAAGAGAAGGCTTGTGATGTCACCGTCCTGCCATGGAAGCCCAGCCTAGAGACCAGAGCATGAGCTCCCCGTGGGATTCAGCGGTGCAATGACAAAGAAGAAGCCAGCCCAGCAATGCCAGGCTCCACAAGGGTGTGAAGGCCACACAATAGCAGGAAAAGATGACGTAAGATGTATTGGCCAAAGAAAAGTTTTGGTTTAGCTCTCATGTACAAGATCCACTTGGAATGACAAGCTGGACACTTGGAAGCAAGTCACCGATACACACAAAATACCTGGGCCTTTTGACAGATAGCCCCTACATGCAGGTTGCTCGGCCCCTCAACCAACCCACTGATGCCACCCGCTGCCCATCCCTTGGTTCAGCTCAGCTTGAATAAAACCCATTCGTTTTATTTATTTTATTTGCGGTGTTCTAACCCAGGTGGTTACTTGCATTTCCTTTTACTTGCATCTTCCATGAGGGAGGAAGAGAAGTGAATTCCCCAGGAACAAAGAACTTGATCAGCTCTGGCTTTCCCCTGTGGTTGTAGGAAAAGGCGGGTGTGAGCATTTGAGAATAGCAGGGGCCTGGCCCGTAGGCTGCCCTGATTGGACTACCATTGACAATGGGGAGGGCTCACTGTCCCTGAACACCTGGAGTCTCTGGTACTTACAAAGCACATTCCATTCCAAGGACCTCAAAGCTCTTATCAGACACCTAATGCCAGGTGTGGTCCCTATTGCAGACGGAGCACCTGAGTCCCGAGAAAGGGAGAGATCAGGCCAGAAAAGATACAGCCTCCAATGTCCAACTCCCTAGCTCCACTGTCTCCTCACTGCCGGCTCAGGTCCTTCCTCTAACACTCAACTACAAAGCCGAGACTGCTTCTGAGGCACGCTCTGGGACTGGCTGACTCTGCAGGCCCAGGTGTGAAAGCCCCGACCTGGCTGGAGCACAGCAGGGCCAGATGCCCCACAAGCTCAGCCGCTCACCTTGCTGCTCCAGAAGAGCATTCTGCCGCTTGAGGTCATCGATATCTTGCTGGTGCGTGTGGTTTTTCCTTCGCATATACTGGATATACTCTGTGGCTTTGTCTAGGATTTGGGCCCGGGATGCCTGTTGCAATATGAGAAAAAGCACAGGTGACAAAATAAAGACCGAGTCTGGGTAGTGAGGGACCCATGACCTTCCACGGCCCAGCATGGGAAACTGAAAACAGGAGGGCAAGGTGGGAAAAGGCCGAGGAAAGAGTGATGGATACTTAAGGCCTTCTTTGTGCCAAAGTTTCCAGTGCTTCAGAGCTTACCTCACAAGCACAGTCTCAGAAGGAGCTCTGCCAGGAACCCAAGGCTCAGAGGAGTACACTGGCTTATTCCAAACCACCAGTTAGACAGCAATGGAGTCTGAGCTCAGAGCTGGGAGTGTCTGACTCCTGAACCCTCACTCCTCCCATCCCCTCTGGTTCTTATGGTTGCATTAAAGTCTTCAGCTTAGCTTTGTCTGAAAACATCAAAATCCTACTTAAATGAGAACTTGAATCACTCATACTCTACTAAGGTCTGGTCAGTGGTCTAGAATGAAAAGAGCAAGATCTTGGCTGGAGCTGGCTAGGGGTAAGAGTAGCTACAGTGGTTTGCACCAAGGTCTTAGACCTCAGTCAAATCCTCAACCATTGTTAACTAGTTCTAAGTGAACACCGCTGTTGGGTCACTGAGCCTTCCTGGCTGAAGAGACTTGCATGAAAACTGTTAGTGCCTGATGTCAACACAGGAAGGGCACGAGATTGAGCCACTTCAGAAAGCAACCACATCTCTACAAGAGCCACGGATGGCACTGCCCTATCAAAGGAACACGCTAATAACCAATAAAATAGATGTCAGGTCACTGTGTCTGGGGGATTTTCTCTGAGCTGCAAACACGGCCAGAGTTACTTATGACCAGGCAACCAACAGTCAAATTGGTAGAATGGAACAAAGCCAAGAGAAGCCCAAGGCAGGGTGGACTAGTAGCTGAGATATATCATTCATGCCATAGAGGCTTCTGAGCAGCAGGAAAGCTTCTTATTACAGGAAGGCAGTTCTCCACAAGTCTGTATTACAAATCAGTGGTCCCAAACAACCAGTATACAGCCGAGGGAAAAAGAAAAGAAAACCTCCACTCTAAATTTACTTGTTTTGAATCCTAACAATCAATCTCAAATTATAGACGTCACAATGAAGTGGGTATCAAGAGTGGTATGCAAAGCCACCACTTTATTTGCCAGTCCTTGAAAGTACCAGAATTTCTAGGCTTTCCTCTTATAGTGTCCTTAAGGCAATTTCCTCAAGAGGAAATCATTTGGATTCAATCAATCATTTTTATCTGATGTGAATTATGTGCAAGGTACTAGGCAGACACTATGGGGAAACAAAATGTATTAGTCATGGTTTCTTTGCCCAGAAGCTTACTTACTATCTAGCTGAGGAGGTATTATCTACACACAGACAAATCACACGCAGTGCTGACAAGTGTAACCTGACTAGTACAGATTACAAAGGCCATGGGAAAGGCGGCTTCTGGCGGGGGTGATTCCCTACTGTGTGCCAGGGTCTTGTCTCGGTGCTACATTTCTCTCACACACACACATTCCCAGGTGAAATAGTGAACACTTTACACTTTGTTAGAGCAACATTGGATTTGTGGGAAAAGGTGGTGCTAAGCAGGAAGAGTAGCACAGTCAAGGGCAGGGGGTAAGGGAGAAGCCAGATCTGTCTCCTTAGCTGAATGGTTAGCTTATGTAGAAAGAATGAGAGGACATAACAGACACTTCAGATACTGTATCCCACGCTTCTGCAAAGGGGCCATATTAAGTGAAAAAATAGAGGGGGAAAAGGGCAATAATTAGGAGGCACTAATTAAAATACTCTGCCTCTTGGATACTAAAGATGGAACTAAAACTTGAGTAAGAGAGTATGAGTGATGGCAGTTTGGGGATTCAAGAGGCAGAGACAAGCTCTATACTGTCACTACTGAGCTCTGTACCTGTAGAAACATTCTTCTCTATGGCTATTCCTGATCCAAACAGAATTCCTACAAGACCCCACCTGGCCCTGCAAATTCTACCCTCTCCATCACTAATGATATTGCTAGGCATATCTATACCCCAATCTCTCTTAAAAGAAACAAAAATTTCTTGGGGGGAAGGGGATGTGGTACATGCCTGTAATCCTAGTGGCTTGGGAGGCTGAGACCCTAGGCAACTTAGCAAGACACTTAAAATGAAAAATTAAAAAAAAAAAAAATTTTTTTTCCAGCATGAGGAATTGAACAAACCCAGGCACTCTATCACTGAGCCACATTTCCGGCCCTTTTCTTTATCTTCTTTTTATTTTAAGATAGGGTCTTGCTAAATTGCTATAGCTAGACTCAAATTTGTGATTCTCTTGCCTCAACCTTCCAAGTAGCTGGGACAGGATTGCACCATCATGCCTGGTTAAATTTGCCTATTTCAAAGCTATTTCCTCAACTAACAGTTCCCAGAAGACAACATTATCTTTTAACACCCATGTGCATCTGGGACCAGGGGGGGAAAAACATGATTTTTAAAATGAAAGCACACTGGCAAATATAAGTGATGACTTCTACTGAGTAGCAGTCTGTWTCCCCAGTTGCACCCTCAGATATTTATACATGAAACCAGGAAATTAGTACCAAGAAGTAAAAAGTGAATGGTGAGCCCAGCTTAGTAAGCCAGAATAAGGAAAAATATCCATGATGATGGCAGTTTCCACCTCAGGACAGTTTTGTGAAGAAGATTAAAATTCCTAAGTGGTTAAAACACAGTGTCGGGGGCTGGAGATGTGGCTCAGCGGTAGCGCGCTCGCCTGGCATGCGTGCGGCCCGGGTTCGATCCTTAGCACCACATACCAACAAAGATGTTGTGTCCGCCRAGAACTAAAAAATAAATATTAAAAATTCTCTCTCTCTCCTCTCTCACTCTCTCTTAAAAAAAAAAAAAAAAAAAAACCAACAACAACAAAAAAAACACAGTGTCTTGGAAGTATCTGGGTTTAAACTCAGCCCTTCTTCCACCCCCTTCTTAAAACAGAAGTGCTTGCTCTGGGTATCATTCAGGGTGCCCTTAACCCCTTAAAATAATAATTCAGAATTAATCTTATTTTATCTTTCCTAGGAACTGAGATCCAACAAAAAAAATTTAGAAGCACAAAACAGCCAGCACCTTCTTAGTGCAGCAGGCAGCATGTTAGTCTCATAAAAAGCACAAAATACAAAATGTCCCCCATTTTGCATCTAATCCAGAGGGCTGAAGTTAGAAAATGCTAGATTCACCTAAAATCCCCTCCGCTCACACTTTTCCAAATCACACAAAATCATGTGACAAGCCATAGCACCAAGATGTGAGCAGGCTCTTCCTTGCCTTTACGAGTTTATAATATGTACATAGTAAACATGAAGTCACCAAGAAACCCTGGGATTTATGGCATGGACTATGGAACAGCCCTGAGTTTTTAGTTTCTGTTTCCTGAGAAGCCTCTCAGTCACTTTAGTCAACTGACAACATTCACGTGAGTATGCTGACCAGACAGGACCTGGCAAGTCAACACGATGCCTTTGGGTAGTGAGTGAGGACAGCATGATCTTTTTTCCCTTCTAGTTTTTGCAATGAGAGGGAACTAATTTCTGATTCTACCTTTCTGAGCAGAAATGGCTCTCCTGAATAGTTTAGACACAGCCATGCCTACCATTTAGACAATAGGTAGCTGGGCCTCCTATACAGCAATGTGAGTCAGGCCTCTCTCTTACTGGAAGCCACACAAAGGATGCCAGGCAACTCTGTCAGATCTTGTTCCAAATCTACGCCTGCATACAGCAACAGAAGTAATGATGAAGACAATAATAATGGCAGCAGATAACTCTTACCAAGCACTTATTAAGTGCCAGGCATCCTCACACAACCTTTGTATATTATTTCTACCACTTTATAAAAAGGGAAACTGAGGCACAGAGTTGGTAACTTAACCAATGTTTCATATGTGTAACTAATAGGAAGTAGAATCAGAATTTGAACCCAGGCCTCCAGGACACCCACATTTTGAAAACAGAGGCAGTTGTAAATCCACTTTAAAAAAGATCAACAGAATTGCAGGAACAGTGTTGTCGCAGGAGAATGAGGAGGAAAAGGACCTCAAACGAGTCACTCATTTGCCTACAGGGATGTCAATGAAAACCCTAGTGAAGGTGGTTTCCTAGCAGGAGTGAGAGTTGAAGCCCAACTGTAAACTGTCCACCCAGGTGCAGGAGTGAGCTGAAAGTGAAGCTTGTCTTTAAGATTTGGCTGAAAAAAAAAAAAAAAAAAAAGAAGTGAAAAATAGCAGCTTATAAAAATAGCGACACTAAAGGAAGACTGTTTTTCTTTTTTCCTTTTTAAGATGGTAAGAACCAAACAGGCTCCCAAAGAAAAGAAACAAACAGGAAAAGCCCAAGATGCAAGATAGCCTGAGAGGACTGAGTGAACCTGGCCCAGTAGGAGGAAGTGTCAGCTCCCCGCAGTGCTGCTGGCTTCCTTGTCTCTTGGCAGCCCAGAAGGTGAAAACAAAATGGATGAAGGAGAAGACCCCGGGTATGGCAGTAAGGCCCTGCAGATCTCTGTCCCTTCTACTGTTCACGCTGAAGTTGTCTGCTAGGCAGCATGTGCACAAAGAGGAAGGTCAGCCTACCCTCCAGAGGTACCACTTTCACAGAATTCTGCTTCCAACAGATACCACGCACTCCTCAAATCATGGCAACAATCAACTTACATATTTCACAAAAGGATGGGACCCCAAAAGATTAGAACCTTTTCGTTTAAAAAAAAAAAAAAGTTTTGTTGTAGATGTACACAATACTTTTATTTTATTTATTTTTATGTGGTACCAGAGATCAAACCCAGTGCGTTATGCATGCCAGACAAGCGCTCTACCACTGAGCCACAACCATGGCTCTAATTAGAACCTTATAAGACCCTGATTCTAGAAGCCATTGTCACTGATGCTTAGGATCAGGTCCAAGGTCCAAGGTCCTTTTWAAAGCAGTGGTTCTCAGTCGTTTCACACATTTCTGGTGCTGTGAATCTTATT